AATTTTATTAATTTAACTGCACATTTATTTATCATGAGAATCTATAAAAGTGGGGGTCATTCAAAGCGTCAAACGTATATTCAAGCTATAAAACCATTAAGGCATACATAACATGTTTAGGCTATCAAGAGAATACGCGTAAAATGCATATGTGACAAAACAAACAACTGCTAATAACTTCAATGCATGAGAATGTATGCAGTCAACATGGTGGGGTTAATTGGTGGGCTCATGTTATGGTAATACTGAGATTCGGCTATTTTTAAGAGTTGGTACGACGCTCCAATAAATATAAATAATTCTTTGAATTAGGTTAAAAGAAAAGCGCTGCTCCGTGGGAATCCTGTATGTTATGGCTTCCTGTCCACATCAGTTTGCTGCTCTCACAATTCTAAAAATAAATCATGTTTGGCTTCTGTGTTCAGCAAGTTTGACCACCCCTGAATTAGAGACTACTTTTTCAATTTTTTTTTTATTCGCTTAGTGGGGCTTTGAGTCCAACTGGGTCTACTCGGTACGGCGGCCACTGTTTGGCCTGTTGTTCATGCCCTGGGTGATTATGATGATGGAGAATTTGGTGGAATGAAGATTGACAGGGGAAACTGAGGTACTCGGAGCAAACCCACCCCAGCTCCACTTTTTCTATCACAAATCCCACTTGACCAGACCCGGGATCGAACCAGGGCCGCCGCGGTGGGAAGCCAGCGACTAATCGCTTGAGCTATGGCGCAGCGATTAGATACTGTTTAGTCCCACTTTACATTAGCGTAATGAAATTTTCAACCGTCTGAGCTAGCGTAGTCGAAAATCATTCTTGCTTTGAAGCACACCGTATAGGTGGTGTTGGTAGTCCATATTGTAGGGAGTGCCATGCGCACTGAACAAAATCCACTCGATTATAGATTTTCGAGACGTGACGTATTGAGACAGTCTTCTGACATCATCACGTTTTGTGACACGATTGGAGGAGAATGGCGCGACATTCTGTGAACAAAATAGAACACAGTGGGTGTACGGAGCATTTTAAGCTTAGAGGAAGTAAACAGGTTGTAATGGATTCGTCCTTGTGGGAGGGAAGACGGGACAGAGGGTAGGATTATTGATGACATCCATGCACTTGAGTCGATACTATTGATTGACGTTGATACATCGATAATTGAGACCCTTTTCGATGGACTCGAAATCTTGCCTTGAAGTTGGTGTACCTTCATTTCGTTTTAACTTTCTAAAGACTGAATCTCTTCTAAATTATCATCATCACCACTTCATGGATTAGACTAATCTCTTGTTCCCGTCTCTAATATTGTTACGTCTCCTTTCATCGTCTTCTTTGTTTTCCTATGTCTCGTCTACCAGACGAACTTTATTTATAGGCTTGAAGTGGAATCCGTTTCTGTTCCAACCTTTGCGAAAACATTTTCCATTTGTCTCTATATTCTGTAATGTTTTCATAGAAATGGAAGATGCCCAGCTTATACAGTACCTTCTCTCTCCTTTGCAACCTTTGGAAGTTCTACGTATTTAATTTCTGCCACCTGAGTTCTATTCCAGTCTATCTTACTCGGCAGTCAAAATCAAATTTATATTACGAATGACGGTCATAGATCAGTCTCTCATGGTATCAAGCACCCATCTGGGGCCCGAGACCACATTTCTGTTATCGTTAGGTAGTTGCGGGTTTGTTGATATGAGGCGCCCTCTCTGACAAGAGGACATGTAACCGAACCATTGAAATCCTCCCCCCCTCTTTTTATTTCAGTAGTTATAAAGTAGAATTATGAGAATTACAAAGAAGCATAGGTTAAGACACAGTCAGAACAAGCAGATAGACCGAACTTGCGCGGACAAGGACATCTGTTAGTTCTTGCTTCCAAGCATCTGGGATTGCTTCGAAAAGGGCAGAAATGATACTTCATGGAACCCCCACTGAGTTTCTTTAGAAATTGAGAAGTTGACTGTTATGCCCCAAAATTTGAGATAGTAGAAGAAGCCACGGCCCAAAAATGTTCGCGCCTAGCGAACAGTGTTGCACAGTTATTGCCGCAACTTGTAAACATCAGTAATGGCAAGTAGGTCAGGAATCTGCTTGCCCAGCAAGGCTGTGTCCTCACAGCGCCAGAAGTTTGCCTAACTCGGGCACTGGAGAATCGGAAGAGATTGCTTACGCAGCGATCAGACGCCCGGGGGGTCTGCCCACATCCCGATAAGACCCAATGAAAGCCTAACTTTAAGAAATTAGAACACAAGGGAGGAGCTATCTACCCCCTTGTCGTCCACGCGGAATCAGCGAATTAAGACTATAAATGAGGGAAATTCAAGAGACTTGGAATTCTGATTTTAAACAGAATA